ATACGGCAAGATATATAGTACAAAAAACCACAAGGCAACGAAAATCGCTTCAACATCGAAAGAGATTTGAAAACGCCGCGATTCGGATGGAATATATGCATTCAATCATTCGTATGCAGCAAGCACGGCAATTCTTTCAAAATGTATCATGCCATTAACGTCTTTGGCCGCTTTATATATCGCATTAAACGACCGAATTGTGTGTATATCCATATGCAAGGCAAAATTGAGTGCAGCAGCAGCAGCAGCAGCAACAACAACAACAAAGTGCACGGTAAATCTTATTCATTTTCTTAAGACCGTTGCAAATGCATTGAAACGAGTTTTTATGTACCGATTTGAAATGTTTTACCGTGTTAACGCGCGTATCATATACCATGCGTTTGGATAAATACCATGCGGCATCGATTCACTGTTGCCACATTTCCATCGAAATGTTATTCTCTCTCGAATTTGAAATTTCTACTCTCTCGCTCAACGGCTGAGATTTTTAACGTTCGTTTACCATATACAAATCGTTCGGAAATGTTGGCGCGCGTTTCGTTCTCTCTCTCTTTGTGTATCGTAAGCGTTCATCACATGTGGAACTGAAATCGCAGCCAAAAAAAATACCGACACACCGAATGCAACGCATCTAACATGTAAAACATGTACAACATCTGCACACCGTGTGTGGATAGCGTACGCAACGACGATACGGCGCAACAATGAAAGAGAGAACGAATACGAAGCGGATTGGATTTGTGGAGAGTAACCAACAGCAAAAATCGGTCGGTGTGAGTTACGGCCGTTTGTTTTGTTCCGTTCTTCTTTAGTACGTCTGTTGACTTCGAATTGAGTGGTACACATCAACCATGCGGTTCGGTTAAACGAAATAAACACACAATTTTTACCTACTTGACTGAATATACTGTGAAAGGTAGCGCGTATTTTAACAACAACCAACTAAATCCAGCTACAACATCGACAACACGTCGGTTAACCATACAAAACTCAAGTGGGTTTTGTATTTGAGTTTTGTTTTTTTGTTTCATCAGAGAAAAAAATCATCATCGTTCATCAATAGCATCGATCGAATGTGATTTTTTTTTTAAAAACATCATCAATATTCGATCACATTTATTGTGATTCGAACAAAACTATTTAAAAGCAGTGTGTCTGTGCTTAATGTGGTAAAGCAACAAATTTAAATTTTCACAAATATATAAAATAAAAACGTGTGTGTATATGTGACACCGTAGATCCAATGGTAACAAATCAAGTTTAAAGCTGAGTCAACGGGAAACCAAATGAACCGCTAAATCGAAAGAGCAAACGTAAAATAAAAGAAATATGAGTGTTTAAACAGAAATTTGTTTAAATATGATTTAAAAAAAGCAAGCAAAATTGAAAACAAAGTGTATAATATTTTGTATGTCAAAATTGAGTAAAATTGTATTGAATCAAAGAAAATTGTATTCAAAAATTGAACCGTTTATCGGCGATTGCAAAATCTAATATAAATCGCACAAAACGCTCATGCTCATCGAAGAATAAAACGAAGAAATATTGTGTAAACAATAGAAAACGATTGAATGTGTATTTTTGTGTGGATGACGTGCACGCGAACGAATGAAATACAGAGAAATACCGAAAAGTATCTTATAATCTAACTATTTAACCAAGTGGAAATAATTTTTTGTTGTGCGAACAGCAAACAAACTAAACAAAGCCAATTTTTAACGGCATATACTGATACATCCAATTTTTATTCCTCCAACTACAATCATTTCCACGAGGAAATCAAATTGATACATCAATTACACAATAACTGCGCAAAACTCTATTCTTTCGTGCGGAAAAAAAATATAGTGTATGATTCACAAAATTCCATAAATCGCGTTAAAAACAAGAAAAAGCACACACACAGCAAGAGAAAAAGGTGACGGAATTAAATTGTGATACGCGCAAATAACTGTCGTCTTCTCCAACGTCGACTGTTTCTCTTATTTCAATAAACAACACAAACAGTGACACACTTAAGATTGCCCAAGAGACGAGCAAAGCGTACAGATTCATCTTGAGACACACACACACAGAAAAAAAACGTGTAAATTAAGAAGAAAAAATCGTCAACATATCGTGCTTGCTCATAAATCAAACAATTTGCTTGTGTATCGTAAAACTGATAATCAAGTCTTTTGTGCATACGATTTGAAAGTGAGTGTTTGCAAATGAAATGCATTTTTTTCACTCGACAATGATCTGACAAGAGTGTATGCGAGAGTGACAAAAAAAAGAAACAAACACAGCCGCCGTTCGCTATAGCTATTTCTCTTCAACACCCAATACAATCGAAACGCAAAAGTGAGAGAGAGCGAACCGATTTTACGACGGGAAACGACGCTTTATGAATTAGTTTTATTGTACGATTGCAATTCGCAGTGAATCAGATTTTGTGTTTGATGTTTATACATTTGAAATTTTTGTGTTAGTTTTTCCATTTGTATGAGTTCTTATTGTTTCATTTTTTCGAAATATAAATATTTTGTGATTGTGCAAAGAAATTAAATTCATCATCCGGTAAATAAAAAGCTGTGAATCAAATCTATCAACAACAAGTGAGCACACAAAAAATATATATATCCAAAAACAGAATGATCAATACCCAGAATTGATTTGTAATAAAAACGGAAGTTAAATGGACTATATTATCGCAATTTTGTAATCATTGACAAATAAATAAACTCACAAAATCTATTGAAAATTGTCAAACAGATTGACATTATGTGCATGAAGAGTATTTAAAAAAAAAGCAAATTAAAAAATACACACACGCTTCACTGTGTTTACCGAAAAAGTAAGCGTAGGCGCTATAAATACGCTGGATTAAGAAGAAAATTGATTTTTTACAAAGTGAAAATCAATTAATTAACATTTCACACATTCAGTCAATTTTAAATCAATAAACAGACTAATGAAACAATCGTATAACCGCATGTATCGACAGACATTTCTTTAAATTAAAAAAAAAACTTAAACCAACACACATTCGAATAAAAAAAAATCCACCGAAACAACAACGAGACAAACAACCCATAAATTCGTCATTATGGATATACGAATCGATAGCAAAATGGATTACACAACATATTTTTGGCTAATTTTTGTATCAGGTAAGTGCAATTTCGCAATAGTTTCGCTATTTTTATTTCGCTCACTTTGTTCTGTTTTTAAACAGCAATTCATTGTGATATTTGTCGAACTAATTTTCCTTTCTTTCGTCAATTTATTTATGTTTTGTTTTTTCCCTCGTTTTTTTTTTCGTCAATGAATTGGCCTTTTGTCTTTCTATTTTTCTGCCAAAGAAAGAAAAGACACTTTGTTATTTTCTCTGTAAATTTCAAACAACACCTTTGAACTTCTTTGTAAGAAAAAGAGGCTTTTGTTCGAACAATTTTGTTAAAAAGAAGAAATAATGTCTATACAACAATTTCCAGCCGTGAATAAATAAATAGGTGTTCCCATTGGGAGCATGTGTTATTCGCATTCGATGTAAGAGATACACCTTGGATTTGATCTGTGTGCCTGTGTACCTTTGTCTATGTGTCGAAAAGACTTGCTTTTGATCAATTTTAATAGACTAAAAATGTAATTAAATGTTGATTTTATACATAAAACCATTGAACATTCAATAGCAACAGCACAAAGTTAATGAAATACTGTATTGAATAATGAGCTGGCTTCAAAAGACGAACACACACACATACGTACACATCAATTGAAATTATTATATGCTTTGACAAAATCGACATCGGCTCCGCAACACGGGCTTTGTGAGTGCGTAATTCAATTGAATTGAGAAGGTTAAATAAGCAACGTCATCGAATACAGCATCAATCTAAATACAAAACACCACCGAAACACACACGCACACACTCATCATTCGATTCATTTTCAATTTGTCATTGCATTTTGAAATGAGCAAACTGTTTGGATATTCATTCTATTCTTTGTCTTTTTCAATTCGCTCTCTTTCGCTTTGTCGCTGGTTGAATTTGCGAAAAATATTTGCATGCATTTACTAATGACATTCGATAATTGTGTTTGTTGATCGAATTGATTGGATTTTCCACTATTGAAGAGTATAAATAAAATGGCATTTTATCGCTATTGCTCGCTATTGCAGTTGAAAAGTATTTGATTTGGAAATTATCACAGTGACAGGTAAAATTGCAACATCATTCGTTATCTCAATGCACGTAAACCATTTTGCAATGCATTTTGGACCGTCATCACTTTGATTCATTGCAAATTTTCGCCATAAAATTTCAATAAATAATTCATTGGACAATTTCAGTTTTTTTATCTACCTTTCTTTTTCTCTGTGTATGTGTGTGTGCGCTTATTTTAGCGGATAAAATTTATCATTTGAACTGTCAATTACACTTTTTCGGAGCGAAAAAAAAGAAGAAGTGAACGAATGAACGTAATATTGAGTCGTTCGTTTTAAAATTGAATGTGTTTTGATGATGGGATTTGTTGTGAGATATTCAATGGAGAAAAAAAAAAGAAGCAGAAAGATATAAAATGAGAACGATTCGATGTGAAAATTGCAGCAGTTGAACCACCAACACAAATCTCTCGATGTTTTAATGCGTTACAAAACAACCAGCGAATTGATAGAGAATAAAAACCTCGAAGCAACAACGATGATGATGAAGAAGAAATTTTGTGTGCAAAAGAACTTCAGTGCAGATAACACACACAGAGTGAGAGAGCAGAAGCATTCACAAATGGCAAAATTGTATCTCGCATTCTTTTTGCATCCATAAATTATTTATAAATAAACATTGAATTGAATATACTGATCATACTGTGGCACTTCGTCGAGTGTATTCATGTTGAGAATCAATGGCGTGTTCTCCTTATCCATCGATGTTAGAGTGAGAAAGAGTAGTAGCATTAAAATATATGCTGTCCTTGCGTTTTTCCACATGAATTGCTTGATTCAGATGAGATTCAATCGACGTTTACTCGCCCAAGCGCACACACACACACACACACATAACATATATAAACTCATATAAACACGATTCACATGCTGACAAAGAACAAATCTTCAGCTGTGTTTCGAATGCAAGAGTAAGCAAGAGCGCTCAAACCAAACGACAGACACACACATACACACACTCACAAATAGAATTTTAGAGAGTGTGAGAATGAGAACGAAAGAGTATGGGTATTTGTACTTATTTCACACATGCAGTTCGAGCCGAATACGCTTTGTATGCATAGATCGTATATTTTGTGTACGCCGTACACAATTTATTTATTTATTTTTGTAGTTGGTTCGTTCATTTTTTGTTTCTGTGTTCACTCTGCTTCGGTGTTGTGTGTATTCTTCCTTTTCTCGGTGGCTCTTTATTGCATTCTGTGTTGCTTTATTCTCTTTCGCACGTATATTCGTGTGATGCGCTGAGCTGCTGCTTCTGCTATTGATGCCGTTGATCGGGCATCGAAATGTTGAAGAAAGAGAGAAACAGAAACAGATAGAGAGAGGCACAGAGCTCAGGCATGCAATGTTTGTACGAACGAACACTGAGCAAATGATGAGATGCGAATGGCATTAAGATGATGTCGATGCCATTGCTGATGTATCGAATATTTAAGTGCACGTGAAGAGGCCAAACTCAAATGCATAGTTGCATTGTGCGTCTTTGTCTGAACGCTCGTTTTGTTTGCTCATGTATGTGTTGCGTTATTTTCTTTTGGAATTCACACCTGCCGTCAAACACATTCACATTTATAAATATATGAAAGGCGAACAGTACCAAAATAGAGGTAGCAAAAAAATATACAGCAACAACAAAAGCAATCGCAGCACCACTGAGTCAAAGATACCGAATTGGGTGTAGAGAGACAAAACGAGATGAAAAAAAATTGTTGTATTCCCTTCGCTGAGTGTTCGAAAATGTGATTTGATGTGTTTTGAGGCAAGGCACAACAAGAATTTTGAACAGTGAGTAACAATAACGAGCAGTGAACAGCAACATTGCTAATGTGCATCGCATAACACATACACAAACATGCAGTCCGTATACGAAGGAATCGGGAGATAGAGAGAGAGAGCGACACAATTTTCAAGCCCGAGATGTGAATTTCAAAAGCATCTCTCTCTTTCTCTGTCATTCTCTATGTTTTGATGCATGGCATGGTGGTGCGGGTATGCTGCCGGAATGATATGTTATAGATTTTTGTTGTGCCATTGCCTTCAACCAAAACCAAATGTCTGCAATGATGGTTTCTAATATGTGCATACGTGCATTTTGCCTAGATTCGGTTGGTTCGCTGTGTGCTTAGTGTGAAAATAACAGGGCCTCAACGCTAAATGATTTTCGTATGCATGTCGAGTGAATTGTCGAGCTGCTGATGTATCGATGGCTTTCTATCACTGCATGGCTATGTTTGGCAAACACAAAGCCTCTCTTCTACCACGAAATTTCTTCATTTTTCGTTTACACTCTGTGTGTATCGGTTTACATTAAGGCTATGCCAAAGAGGCTCTAATATGTTATTTAATGATGTATATCCCAATGAATAGGCATTGCTAGATTACTGCATCCACATTTTTAACGACCTTTCCCAACGATATGTCCCTCTGATATTTTGCGTGTCACCCGTTTCTTCTTCACTTTTCTAGTACATTTTGTCTTTAAATCATGCTCTCATGTCACAACAACAAAACCGATAATGGCCACACACACCACATACGAATTGAATGGTATTCAAATGACGATGTCGTGCTCGCGCGAGAGACATAAGCACACCACTTTCGGAAAAAAATGTTGACTCTTCACATTTGCATCTGATTCGTTGCCATTTTTGTAAGTGTGCGTTCGTTATGTTCGCTCTCTGCATGTGCAAACGTAATGGTTGGTGTTGACTGATTACGCTGTGAATGCGATATGTTTTCGGAATACGAAATTTTTTCAGATCCATCTTGAGCGAATGAGAAAAAGAAAAAGAGACGGAAACTGTCGTACCGTCAAACTCATCGAAATCGACATGGTAAATGTCGAAATAAACCAATTTCTAACTGAAAATTGTGTGTGTGTACTTTATATTTGATTTTCGTAGGTTATTATATCGTCTGTGGGTTAAATGGATTTCTCGCTCGTTCGCTTTCAGTGTTGTGAAAAAAAAATTGTGCCACAAAATCCCATGCACTCATTTTCCACTGAGACATTTAATCTTATAAACGTTTTTAGTTGCGGCAGTCACAGACACTCGACAGTACTCACAAGAAGTCTATGTCTCGCTTGTAATTTTTTTTTATTACCATCAATATTTCATATGTGACGGCGACAATTGAATTAACTCAAGTGTTAATGCCTATCATCTCATACGGAGTTGATACAATTGGCGGCTGGAGAAAGAGCAATTTATGCGGTTTGTAAATGAAATTGCAAACCATTTTGATTATGACTTATGGTTAAAATCAATAAATTGCTTTCAATTACAGAGATAGAGAGAAATTGCATGTACAAGTACACTGATGTCTTGGCATTCGTCAAACAATTTCCATTTCTTTGAAATACAGACATATATTCATTTATTATTCGTTCGTAATAATCGTTCATTGTGAAGCACAATTGACGACTTTTAATTTATTCAACCGACAAAATTGAATGTATATATCTTCAGCAATGTATATAAACCCCTTCTCACTGAACAGTGTCTCGAATGCATTTCGATTTCAATTATGATAATGTACATGTAAAGGAACCGAGCATTGAATATTTAGTGGTCACCCGTTTTCTTTTATTTTCACTTTTTAATGCTCGGGTCGATGATGATGATGATGGTAGAATGTGTGTATGCGAGTACACTTCTCATTTTGATTCAATTGTCTGACGAGAGAATTAACGATGAAACGCCAGCAGAATACAGATTTTGGACATTGACATTTTTTTTTTTTCAAATAAAAAATCAATTTCTCGGTAGTATTGCTTCATTCATTCATTCTTTTTCGCTGTATGTTCTTGAATCATTTTTCATTCTAGTCAAATTCACCGTTTGGCCAGTAAATTGACGTCGCTCAATTGATATTTTATGGAGTTTCATCAAAACTTCGGATATTGTCGCATAAAATTCATTTTTTTTCTCTTTCTCT